ATACAAATAAAGGTACTAACAATAATAACAACATAAATATATAATCATACTGAAATCGAGAGTCGATCTTGTTTCTCCAAGAAGGCGAGCGCTTTCTCATCTCCATCAATCTCCTCGGTTGAGAAGAATTTGACCTCGAATCTGACAAATCTCGTATCTGTAGGAGTTGTCACAAAAAAACGACACTAAATGCTTGACGTCGAACACTGACGGAAGGCGGAGACGGTAGGCATTTGGATTGAGCTTCTCCACTATTTCGACCGGTCATATCTTCTAAGCGAACAACATATTATACTCGTGGTTCGAATCCAAAAAAATCGATCCTTCATCAAGACTCCCAAACAAAGCCCCCACCTCAACCTCCACGTGGCGACGACTAGCATTCGCCCGGCGCTTATATACAACAGTCATCTCCTCCATGTTTTCCCCAGCCGTGGCATGAGTCCGCTGCAAATCGACCGAAAATCGTCGGCCTGAAGATCACGCGGCTCTGTTGACGGCAACGACAACAAATCTGCGGAACCACGAGGTTGCACCGTATAGACCACCTGAAAAGGAAAAAAGTGTGTGGCCCGACTAACAGTAGAATAATGGGCGAACTCGGTTTGACTAAGCCGATGATCCCAACTCCTCAAGTTCTCACCCACAAGCACCGGAATAAATTCTCCAGCAAGCGATTGACGACCTCCGTCTTACCATCTGTCTGTGGGTGGTACGCACTGCTAAAATCGAGGCACGTATTAGCATGCCGCCACAGACTACGCCAAAAGAAACTCATAAACCGAGTATCATGTCAGACACGATTAACGAAGGCAAGCCATGCAAACTTTAAACCTTGCGAAAGAAGTGCTACGCAACATGCACAACGTCCATCGTGCGCTTCCAAGAAATAAAGTGGACCATCTTCGAAATGGTCAACCACCACAAATATAGAGTCATGCCCACAGTGCATGCACAATAAGCCAAGCACCAAATTCATGCTGATTGCACTCCAAGGCTGCGACAAAATAGGCAAAGGGCGATAAAAACTGGCATTAGAATCAAATGCCCTTAGACACCTCGTAGACTCGGCAGAGCCATGCAAAGCGTGCTACATCTCGCTTCAAAGCCAACAAAAAAGAGCACTAGACCAACTCAATCGAACAATCCCGACCCACGTGATTCGCGCGATGAAGGTCGACAACCAACTCCAGTCAGAGTGCAATCCTACGATCCTACGGACACTGCGCACATCGCGAAAGATAAACCCATCGGACAACACATAATCCTTGAAAGGATCGGACTAAAGGCGCAACAAGATCGGTGTGAGAAAGGCATCGGTCACGTAAACCTCCCGAAGCAAATCGACGCCCAAAACAAAATCCTGCATATTAGTCAGCACCAAGACAGCCTACTCAAAGCATCAGTCACGCAGTTAGAAGCCTCAGAACGATGCTTCAACACGAAAGTAAACTGCTGGATAAATGCCGTCCATGAAGCATGCCATGCCGAAATATTATCCTGCGAGGCGAGGTGACGCATTGCCTCATGGTCCGTGTAAAGAACAAATTTTGATGGAAAAGGTAATGGCGCCGACATATTATTTCATAAAAAAACCTTGGTCAATAAGAGAGGGAGAAGAATAAATGAGTCCTCATCTCCTTAAATATTTATCTTGCCCAGGGACGGATCTACATGTAAGTTGGGGGAGGCCATTGTCCCCCCCAACATTTTTTATTTTTTCTACTAAGTATAAATAAACTTATATTTTTATAATAATCCTCAAATTAAATAAATAAGTTAAGGCTTTGATAATCAATAGTCTTACCTCAAAATAAAGAATTCAAAGAAGAGTATTAGTAGAGGTATAAGTAGATCTTGTACTAATTATTAAATATAATAAGTAGATTTTGTAAGTCGTCTATAAATACGCTTGTATGTAACTTAATACGAGAAATAAATTTAA